AAGAAGAAGAAGAAGAAGAAGAAGAAGAAGAAGAAGAAAGAAGCAGCTCAACACCTTCATGGGGAATCTCAGAACTCGCTACTCCATGCTCTGCCTCTGTCGAGGACAGGGAGAGAGCAAACAGCTTCTCTGCTTTCCTAGGGACTCCAAATATTGCCACTGGAACCATGATAGGTCAGCTTCCAGACGGATTTGCCCAGTGTCGCTCACAAACAGACCCCTAAGAAAGGCTCAGAGAAGCCCACTGGGGCTGGGCAGGAGGGTGAGAATCCCAACTTTCAGCTACAGCTCCAAGCAGTTTCAAGGTCACATCTTCCCTTTTTTAAATCTATTAATAATACTCCCTTTCTGTAGCTGTGTAGTATTTCCAAGTTTCATAAGCATCTCTTAGAGATGGCATTTGGGTTGCTTCTGTCCTGTCATTATAAACATCCCTGCAATGATTCATATGTACAACATATTGTATATATGTGTGTGCATTGGTAGGGCACATTCTTTGTCAGGTTGCTGATGGAAAGTGTGATGGTTTGTATATGCTTGGCCCAGGGAGTGGCACTATTAGAAGGTGTGGCCCTGTTGGAGTAGGTGTGGCCCTGTTGGAGTAGGTGTGTCATTGTGGGTGTGGGCTTTAAGACCCTCATCCTAGCTGCCTGGAAGTCAGTATCTGCCAGCAGCTTTGAGATGAAAATGTAGAACTCTCAGCTCCTCCTGCACCATGCCTGCCTGGACACTGCCATGCTTCCTGCCTTGATGATAATGGACTGAACCTCTGAACCTGTAAGCCAGCCCCAATTAAATGTCCTTATAAGAGTTGCGTTGGTCACAGTGTCTGTTCATAGCAGTAAAACCCTGACTAAGACAGAAAAGCGTTGCTCAGATTTGCAGTTTGGGTAAGTGCTGCTGTAAACTGACCTCCATAAGCCTTGTGCTGGGTTATATGCCCACCAGCCATACAGGAGCACCTGTGTCCCATCCTTCTAATCCAGAGTTATATATTTTTTTTCCTCTGCCAATCCATTTGTGAGGCTATAAATATGTGTGTATCATTATTGCTATGATTTTTTAAAAGTTTTTATTATATTTGCTTATTGTGCGTGTGCACGTGTGTGTGAACGCGTGTCTGCTCACACAAGTGAATGCCTTGTGCAGAGGTGAAAGGACAACTTGTGGCTATTGGTTCTCTTTCTGCTGATTGGAATCAGGGATAGAATTCCAGTCGTTGGGCTTGGCTGCAAACAGCCTTACCAACTAAATCATTTTGATAGTTCAATTTTTAAGAATTAAGTATATTTCCTCTCCAGGGACTGCATACATCTGCTGGTTCTCTGGGGCACTTTTTGGTCTTTCAATATTGGTTTATCAAAACTGAATGGGAATCAGCAATGGACTAACAGTGTATCAAACAGTTTTCACCTGCTGGGATGTTTCTGATACATAACTCATTCCTTATGCAGAACTACTGAGCTATCTTTCTCATCACTTCTAAGTCTTGACATAGTTGGCCTGTTCTCCAAGGCATCTTTCCCTCCTTATTCCAGGGAATTTTTAGGTGTTTCCCTCTCGGGCATAGACATTTTTTTAAAAAATTGCATTGACTTGCTTTGGCTTGCCAATTTCTCTAAAACTTTTTCTGAGGTGATAATAAGGAAAAGAAACTGGTGACTTTTGAAAGTTAACAATTCCTCAGGCAATGAACAGTCTACGCCATTTTGCTTTTCACTAGCAGAAGAATCTCAGACACTGAGACCTTACCTACAGTGACAATCCTCAGCAGAGAGAGTGCCCACTTCTTATTGACGAGTGTCCAGAATGGGGGAATTGTTAAGAGTATCGGAGAGAGAAAGGCCACGCCAAACAATTCCAGTCCTGTGAGCTCCAGCGTTTGCAGGGGAAAATAATAGATCATGGGCCCCAGTCCATGGTAGAGAGACCAGGAGACGTAGCCTAGGAAAAACGTTTAGGAGAGAGTGTGAGTCTGGCACTGTTCCTGATGACAGCCTGACACTCCACTCTGCTCTAAATTTCCTGCCTCTGGCATCAGCTGGGTATTGAGACTCAGCTCCCTTCCCAGCAGGCAAGGTAGAGGACAGACAGGCTGTTGTGAGTCTGTCACCACCTCCTTTGTTCCCGTAACTATGTAGTCATAAAACTGTGACTATGCCTGTAGATAGTCTTTTTAATAAGATGGCATAGGCTGGACCATCAAAGATGAAGCAGGCTTCCTGTCAGGATTCTGATTGATAAAATATTCTCACCTAATTTATCCCATACATATGTAATGAGAAATATCATAAAACTAAAGAAGTAGTGTTCCCTCCAACTTACAGCCTCGAGCCCTTTAGTTAAGCAACAGACTTTTACTTGTGAGTAGACCATCATAAACCTGCCCTTACTGGGCATGCGTGGGGAGTGAAACAGATCTGAGCTGGGTTTTAACCAGATAGCTTATCCCTCATATAATCCACATCCTAGTAGGTAAATGTATACACCTTACCCACACTTCTACCAAAACTGAAACAGTTGGGGCAAACCAACAGCGCAAACCTCTGAGAACCGGAAAGTTCAGTGATTGTCTGGCGTGCCACAGTGCTAAATGTCACAGGGAGCTTAGATCCCAGCAGCACACTTAACTTTCTCCCAAGTCCCTTCTTGCCCTCAGATTAATTAATCTGCAGGCGTTACACCACCTCACAGTTCTCAGAATGAGATCAAGCCTCCCGGAGGAACTCAGTGTGACTCCTCCCAGTTTACTAGGCACTGAGAAAGGCAGGAAAAAAAAAGAGAGAGAGAGAGAGAGAGAGAGAGTTTCAATCCCTCCTGAGACAAGCTGCCTGCAGAAACTCTCGTTCTCAGGAGAGCGCAGTCCGCGGGCCAAAAGGATGCTTGCTTCCAAATGAACCGCACGACTTAGTCATTTCCCAAAGTTACCCTTTCTAAGTATATTAAACTCAAAGTTTAAGCATACATCTCCCACAGAACCAGAATACTAAATCCTTGGTGCTCCGTGCAAAACTGCTAAATGAGCCCAGGAGACTAGAAGCAGACGCGTTTTGCCGAACACACTAGTATACTCGCAGCTACCAAGACCCCTCAAACAGGGAGCCAGAACCAAAGACAGCTACCCTGGGTCCTCACCTACAGCCCCTGGGAAACACAGGTGCCCTTTCCTTGGGAAAGCTAAGTCCAGTAATAAACTGTACTGAGGTAGACTTGAAGGTCACGGTCCGGAGCTGCAGGAGATCAACGCAGTCGCAGGGAGAACTCTCTATGCAACCCCAGGGCGGCGCGGGAGCTGCGGAACCCGGGCTTGGGAACCTCTATCTGGTCTGGTCTCCTTCGCTTCCACCCAGGGCGCGATAAGCATCTCCATTCCCGGCGCCGGGCCTCTTCTCCCGGCTCTGTCACCCCCGCTGGGAACAAGCCCAGCCAGTGTGAACCAAGACAGCCTCGACTTACCCAGCAAGGTCTCCAGGGCGATTGCTCTCCACAGGCCTGGCATGACTACGGCCACCCGGAAAGCCTCGAGGACTGTCCCTCCCGCCCCGCGTGCGCCCCGTGCTCCCTGCGGGGTCCTCCCCGGTCTGCCTGCTCGGTGTCCCCGAGTGGCCCGCGGGTCTGAGGCGGCCGCGGGAGTCCTGGCAGGGTGCGTCACCTCCTTCCTGGCACACCTGCGCGCCGCCCCGCCCGACGCCACCCTTGCCTTCAGCGCTGCTGAAGACGCGCCACCCTAGTGCAGCCTGTGCTCTCCAAACCTGTCACCCAGCCGGAACGAAGTCTCCTAGTCCCCATCCCATCCTTTACCCCCTAAGAAAGAACACATGGAAGATGGAGCCCCCCCCCCCTCCAGCGGAGGAAGGGAACAACCCAAATAGGTGATGTCATCGGTTAATCTAAGCCCGTGCTTGCCTCAAATGCACCAAACTTTGGGCTCATCCTCTGTTGCATAGACAGGCTGTGGTGGTGCATACCCAAAACCCCAGCATTTAAGAGATGGAGACCAGAGAATCGGGATAAACAGGTTACATTTCCAGATACTTGATAGTGTGAGACCTCCTTCTTCTTCCGACTCCACGCCTAACCCCTTATCTTTTTTTTTTTTTAAAGCTTTGGTAGTAAACGCAACTCAGGAACTGTCAGCATCATCCCCTATGATGGGGTGCCTACATTTTAAGAAACAGCTCAAAATGCTCATTGTTACAAGTCCACAGCAGCCTTGAACTAAGAGTTCCTGGTCGCTTTTGAGCACAGAGATAGCTGGATAAATTTAGAGAACAAAGTAGAGCCTCTGGAACCCTATCGCCTGGCATCAAGTCATTTTTTTTTCATAACCTTAACAAGACAGTTACACAGGACAAAGAAAACTTTTTCCAGCAAGTGACCACAGGGAAATTAACTACCCAAGTGGGAAAGTTTCAAGTTGAACCCCTACCTCACACATACACAGAAACCAACTCATACAGGCTCTGTAGTTGTTTGAATGAAAACTTCAATATCTCACAGGCGCAAATACTTGAATACTTGGTCACCAGTGGGTGGCGCTGTTTGGGAAGATGGTACAGCCTTCCTGGAGGAAGTGTATCCCTGGCAGTGAGCTTTAAGAGCTCGTAGCCTCTCCAGACACGCAGATTGCTTTCTCTGCTTCACGATTCCTGTTAAAGATGTGTTCTCTGGGTTTTTCACTCTGGCCTCCCTGCCACGAGTCCTCCTTGATTGGCTCTCACTCTGGAACTGTAAACCCAAATAAACTCTTTCTTGATTGTTTCTGTGATGGTTTATCACAGCAACAGAAACACAAATACAAAGACCAAAGACTGTATCAACCATGAATGCTTTTAAAGAGAAAGAAGAAAGGGAGAGGGAGAGGGAGAGAGAGAGAGAGAGAGAGAGAGAGAGAGAGAGAGAGAGAGAGAGGGAGGGAGGGAGGGAGGGGAGGGGAGGGAGAGAGAGAGAGAGAGTAGATCTTCATGGTTTCAACTCTTAGGTAATAGATTCTCAGTTCAGCATCAAAAGCGTAAGAGACAAGAGAGAAATGATACATAAACGGATGTCCTCTGAGATTAGAAGCTCTTAGCCATGTGCAGAGGTGTGGTGTGCCCTTGTGGTGGGGAGGTAGCTAGGGATACTGAAGGGAAGATCATTAGCTCAAGGGTCTAAGCCTGCCTCTGCAACAAAGCAAAACTTCATCTCAAAAATAAATAAAAATAAACCAACAAAAAATGGAAATATTTTTGCCTCAAAAGACTGAAAAGAGGGCTGGCGAGAGGGCTCAGCAGATAAAGGTCACTAGGTTTGACCACCCGAGGCCTTGGGATCCACATCACTGAAAGAGGAAACTGACTCTTAACAAGTCCCTCTCTGACCTCCACACTCATGATGAGACATTGGTGCTTTCTCAATCTCTCTCTCTCTCTCTCTCTCTCTCTCACACACACACACACACACACACACACACACACACAAAATAAAATATCTTTGAAGAGAGTGAAAAGAGAGCTGAGTGTAGCTTAATGATAAAACTTGTCCTGGGCACACCCCATGTTCCGAGTTCAAACCCTAGCCTGAACTCACAGACACACCGGGACAGACAGGGGAGAGATAACCAGAAAGGGAGACAATGTTTCTAAGCTATACATGTTTCAGTTGTCGTGTTCTATCTCCACTTGTTAAGATGTCTGCCCTGCTTCCTCCTTCTGACTTACTGAAAGCTGTCTGTGGGTTTTTCTACTCTGGATATTTTGCATAGATAGACTCATACAATGAGCACATGGCCTTCCACCTCTGGCCAGAAGTCCTCGGGCAATGCAATGAAAGTATGGTGCAGTTCTAGAAAAGGTGTTGGTGGTATTGGTTTTTTGTTTGTTTGTTTGTTTGTTAACTAGAAAACACACAGGGAGGATTGAGTGACCTCTTTTTGCCCTTCCATTGACTTCTTGTGATCTAAACCGAGATGGTATCTCATAGAAAACCGGCTATCAACTCAGTACAAGTTTTCTCAAGTGTGTAATCTTGTCAGTCTGTAAATGTATTAATTCTGAATGTGCCGACTCTCTGTGACAGCATGGGAAATTTCCATCCCAGGGCAAGCAAAGGCCGAACTCTCCCCTGCAGACAGCCACTGCCAGAGCGCAATCAGGGTTAGCCTCAAGTTCCTCTTCAATACAGGTTGGATTCATAGCTGGGTGGTGGAGTGTTATTTAGTCATAAAAAGCAATGAGGCAGTGACTGGTACAAGCTCTAACAAGGAATATGGAAAGTATCCCACCACAGGACCCATGTGATTGCCTGCGCTCATTTATATGAGCGATCTAGAGTAGGGAATCCCGAAAGGCAGAAAGCACTGTGGTGGTAACTGGGATCTGAGAAAAGCGGGAGACCAGGAAGTGACTGCTCAGTAGGTGAGGGTTTTCTTTTAGGGGGTGTGGTAGTTTGAATATGCTTGGCCCATAAGGAGTGGTATTGTTAGGAGGTGTGGCCTTGTTGGAGGAGGTGTGTCACTGTGGAGGTGGGCTCTGGAGGTCTGCTCCTGTGCTCAGGCTCTACCCATTTCAGAAGAGATCTTCTGAGCTGCCTGAGGATACCCGTCTTCTGTTTGCCTTCGGAACTAAATGGAGAACTCTCAGCTCCTCCAGTGCCATGCCTGCCTGCACACTGCCATGCTTCCTGCCACGATGATAATGGACTGAACCTGTAAGCCAGCCCCAGTTAAATGTTGTCCTTTATAACAACATTTGGGAGGGGAGGCAGAAGGATAAGGAATTCCAGGCCATTCTCAGCTGTGTAGTAAGTTCAAAGCCAAACTGAGAAACATGAGCCTTTAGAACACAAAAGCTAAATCAACAACTAATGAACTAACGAACAAACGAAATAAAAGAAATGTCTCCAAAAAAAAAAAAAAAACAAAGATAGGAGCTCAATGAGCATCAGTGTTAAAGACGATTACATAGGAGAAATCCACTTCATACTCACTATGGAATTCTGATTTTTAAAAACATCACATGCTAACATGCTGATGAGGATGTGGAGACCCTGCTGGGGAGGGGACAGAAAGTGGTGCAGCTACACAGGAAAACATTCTACTGGTTCCTCGAACAGTTAAATACAGAGGTACTGTATGACCCAACCATTATACTCTGAGGTATAGGTACAAGAGAAAAGGGGCAGTGTCCAAAACCCATGCACAGGTGTTTATAGCAGCACTGCTTCTAACAGACCCAAAGGGAAGCAGTCCAAATGCACAAGCACTGATTATAGTTAGATTATATATATATATGTATATATATACATATATGTGTGTGTGTGTGTGTGTATATATATATATATATATATATATATATATAAAATAGAATACCATTCAGCAATGAGAAAGTATTACTATATACGATGGCACGGTTAAATCTTGACACTGTGTTAAGAGGAAGAAGCCAGTCATGAAAAAATGTTGTACAATCCTATTTATGAGAAATAGTCTGAATAGGCCAATTGAGAGTGACTAAGAGTAACTTAGAGGTTACTCGGGGATATTCACATAGGTGGAGAAGGAAATGGGTTGGTGAATCTAGTTTCTCATATAGTAAGTGACACTTCTAAAATTAGGTTGTGATCCGTAACTTTCCAACTGTCAGTGTGCTGACAGCACCTCCTTGTCTATGTTATGCTAAATTCATGAATCACATGGGGTGAGAATTACATCTCCAAAACACTTAGAAGTGGTTTTGATGGGGCTACAGTCTGAATGCCAGGATTTCTCTGCGAATGAAAAAAAAGACATTAGACCCTCCACGATCCTGCCTGGGTGCCTCTCTGTTTCTCTCTGTACTGATTACATGTTTCACTGTATCTGGCAAAAGCAACTGAAGAAAGGAAGGAAGGGTTTACTAGGGCTCATGATCTGAAGTTAAGGGTACAGTCCACGACTGTGGGAAGGCATGGTGGAGAAGGTCTGGCGGCCAGGAAGGCCTGGCTACTACAAGGCCTTACTGCTCCACTGCATGAACAGTCAGGAAGCAGGGAGAAATAAAAGCTGGCGCCCAGCTCCCTTGCTCCTTTTTATTCAGTTAAAGAGTAGAGCCCAGGCCGAAGAGACGGCTCTGTGTTTAAGAACTGACTGTTCTTTCAGAGGTCCTGAGTTCAATTCCCAGCAACCACATGGTGGCTCACAACCATCTGTAATGGGATCCGATGCCCTCTTCTGGTGTGTCTGAAGACAGCAACAGTGTACGCACATTTAAAAAAAAAAAAAAAGAGCCAAAGGGATGGTGCTGCCCAGCCCACGTTTAGGGTGTGTCTTCCTCCCCCAGTTAAACCTCGGAAACACCCTTGTGGACACACCTTGAGGTAAACTTTCCTGGGTGGCTCTGAATCCAGTCTGGTTGACAATGAAGAGCAGTTTTCAAATGCTCAAAACAAAAGACACACACACAATACCTAATTGAGCACTGTGTGTCGGTGCAGTGCTTTGTTAGTTTATTATAAAGTTTGTTTCTTTTCTTATTATCTAACTTGCTACTGTTACTCTTGGCCTTCTGTTTCACTTCATTCTCTTCAGCCCTTCACTGCAGCTCACCACAGGTGTGTCTGGAAAATGCAGTCTGTCTTTGAGCCCAGAAACCGGAACATGAAATCTTAGTGAGCAGCTGTCCATCTCTGCTACAAAAATTGACTTTATAGAGACTCATGTTTGAGGTTTAAATAGATTAAAAAGCTAAGTCCTTCAGTGTAGCACCTGTGGTGTTCACAGGACTCAGGATACCTGGGGGTGTGGAGGAGCGCCCTTTGTT